TTTAACAACATTTTAGAAGGTGGGATAGTCCCTTTAACTAGTGTGGCGAAAGTGCACATTATGAAGCCGCACCAAAGACAGTTAAGCTTACGTGCTTCCTAAAACTTGGGCTATAGGAATATTCAGGTGAATATTCGTCAGGAATTAGCCAGAAGCCAGAATAAGTTATCACACGCAAGGCACACATACATATATGTAAAAGTTCGATCTAACAAAACTACAATGTTTTTCCTGACTGGGTAAATAATTGGTGTGTTGAACGCATCGTTCTGTTCCGGTCTTATCTCCTCATACGGTTATGGCTCTCATGTCATCCGGCCTCCGGCATTCCTCAGACATTCTCTCTCTCTCTCTCTCTCTCTCTCTCTCTCTCTCTCTCTCTCTCTCTCTCTCTCTCTCTCTCTCTCTCTCTCTCTCTCTCTCTCTCTCTCTCTCTCTCTCTCTCTCTCTCTCTCTCTCTCTCTCTCTCTCTCTCTCTCTCTCTCTCTCTCTCTCTCTCTCTCTCTCTCTCTCTCTCTCTCTCTCTCTCTCTCTCTCTCTCCTCTCTCTCTCTCTCTCTCTCTCTCTCTCTCTCTCTCTCTCTCTCTCTCTCTCTCTCTCTCTCTCTCTCTCTCTCTCTCTCTCTCTCTCTCTCTCTCTCTCTCTCTCTCTCTCTCTCTCTCTCTCTCTCTCTCTCTCTCTCTCTCTCTCTCTCTCTCTCTCTCTCTCTCTCTCTCTCTCTCTCTCTCTCTCTCTCTCTCTCTCTCTCTCTCCTCTCTCTCTCTCTCTCTCTCTCTCTCTCTCTCTCTCTCTCTCTCTCTCTCTCTCTCTCTCTCTCTCTCTCTCTCTCTCTCTCTCTCTCTCTCTCTCTCTCTCTCTCTCTCTCTCTCTCTCTCTCTCTCTCTCTCTCTCTCTCTCTCTCTCTCTCTCTCTCTCTCTCTCTCTCTCTCTCTCTCTCTCTCTCTCTCTCTCTCTCTCTCTCTCTCTCTCTCTCTCTCTCTCTCTCTCTCTCTCTCTCTCTCTCTCTCTCTCTCTCTCTCTCTCTCTCTCTCTCTCTCTCTCTCTCTCTCTCTCTCTCTCTCTCTCTCTCTCTCTCTCTCTCTCTCTCTCTCTCTCTCTCTCTCTCTCTCTCTCTCTCTCTCTCTCTCTCTCTCTCTCTCTCTCTCTCTCTCTCTCTCTCTCTCTCTCTCTCTCTCTCTCTCTCTCTCTCTCTCTCTCTCTCTCTCTCTCTCTCCGTTTGTCGACACCTCCGGCCGTTAGCCATCTCCTGTTCATTTGCTCACTTCTCACTGCTCACTGCTCACCCAGCTCAGTGTCCGGCAGCTCCCCGTCTCCGTCCCCTGCGGCCGCTCCCACCAGGCGTGTCGGTCACACCAAACCAACAATCTGAACTTCCGGTCTCACCGCCGGCCGCCGGCGGGCGCCGATCCTCGTCCGAAGGTACTTTGTTACCCGGGCCGCGCGGGTTAGACGTCCTCAACCCGTCCAAAGTTGCCATGACACTTGGGAATGTCTTTAGGCCGCGGCGGGTTAGACGTCCTCAACCCGTCGGAAGATCCATTCTACAGAGTCGTCATGGCACCTCGGACGACTCTGGCACCGCCAGAGTCGTCATGGCGGCATTATCCGGGAAACCTCCATACTTCAATGAATGTGCTGAGTTATCCGCCAGAAACTGCATGCCTTCGACGCGACTACTTGTGTTTCACATTTCCACTCTATGAGCGGCGGCGCAGGCTGGTTCTCACGCCTACACGCTGACTGGCGCCCTCTTCTCCCCGACGGTTTTCCGCCGCGGAGTTTTTGCTTGCCTTGGCTCCCAGGATCTTCCTTTTGAGGTAATGATTCGGGGTGTATCTCGAAGCAGCACTTCCTTAACTGTGCACAATTCGGGAGGTGAGATATTCGGAAGCCAGCCGTCTTCCTCAGATACCTATCCAGAGTCACGACTTCTTACTGGAGAGTGGAAGGGCTGTCACCCTCTGTCGTCGCTGCTCACAGCCTTCACCTGGTAACCGGACTGTAGAGTGTAGAGTATGCGACTCATGTTCTCCCCAACCTTAGTTCGGCAGTTTTAGAATAGGTTTCAACCCGATGTAGTGGTTCGCGATATTGATGAAAAGCGCCGCTGGTTCTGATGCATCGTATTCCGAAACATGGTGTCGTATTCTAGCACTTTTGAGAAGCAATCTCGAGCAGGATATGAGACTGTAACCCTGGCACTATAGGGAGTGGCATGCTGGCCATAAGCAGAAAGAGAGAGAGAGAGAGAGAGAGAGAGAGAGAGAGAAAAAAAAAAATAAAAATGCAAGGCACTAGGCAGTGGGTAAAGGTTCTAAGTTGATTTCATGTAATGTGATTTAGCCCGTTTACATGAGTCAGCAAATCTGACGTTTAGAACGATTTTTTTTCAAATTAGCGCAATGTGCGCAACTATCGACTCTGTCAGCTGTTCTGCGCGCGCTAAAATGATGATTGTAGTGTTGACATTTTTAATACTTTGAGAAGACTATTCAGGATAAGCATAACTTATTTGAAATAGGTATGCATAAACATTCTCAACATTTCGTTAGTTTCGTTAAATTTGCATTCAACAGGAAAACGTTATTCGTTGCGGAAGAGCCAAGTTGATGTCATTCGAAGTACTCGGCAACTGCCCAACTTTGCTGGTGCGCAGTTATTGCACAATGGATTTAGGGTGCTAATAATGGTTCTAGCCTCCATAAGTTAAGCTGTTGAGCATGCAATATTTAAAAATCTTGATTTAAGTAATATAAGGATATTACATAAATAGTTTTACTTATACGAATATACATACATATGCACCAGACTTTCAACTGTATGCACCGTGCGCCCTGTGCACTGCGTTGTTGCTAAACAGCGCTCTCTCCGAAATGCTCCCTGACGATTGCAGTATCTCGCCGGCAGCAGTGTTCAGCTGAACGCCGTGGTCTCAGTCACACACGGAGCTGTGTCACTTCTCAGCCGGCAGCCTCGGCTCTGAGGCGTCTGGATGGTGTTCTGTTCTGAAATAACCCGCGTTCCCTGCAGAGCACCCTGCCGCACTGCGAGGCTTCACCCCTTCGCCTTGAACCCTGCACGCCAGACGCACCGCTCACACTCACTAACACGCACCACAAATATACGTTCCGTGTGACGGGGTTGATAGAACGCGCCTCGGAGTGCCGGCGGCGCCGCCCGTCGCCTCCCATTCAGCCACCGTGGGGAGGGCTGGCGGGCGATCCCGGCACCAGCTGCGTGTCTGTAGCGATTCTGTTCAACAGCTGCACTGCCAGCGTCGGCCGCGAGGAACACGGCAAGTGCGGCGCAATAGAGTCTAGAGGTGATGACTGTCAATAACATAGCGCCTTATGAAGGCACGTGAGCCGTCTGTGAGCCGGAGGGAATGCCATCTGCCCCACAAAACACGAAGTTTTTATTTAATCAAACTGGCAAGCTCTCGCCTCGCAGGCCTAAGGCCCTCAATATTTGCCGTCATATTTTTTTGTAATTAATGCGACCTTTTCAAAACATCAAACTTATATCGCAATGCACATGTATTCACAATGCGCAAAACTGAATCCGTCTCTGCTGTAATGCTTTGGCCATGGCCGGACTTGGTATAGCTAAGCATATTGCATTGATTATTTTTCTCCGTGTAGGTAAACGTTGCCTACATTTATCTCCAATAGCTCGACCAACAGAATGTCTGTGATTATTTTACACTTAAAAAAGGAAAAGTATGGTAGCTTATGTACTGGTATGTTACCAACCATTTGAATGAACCATTTCCATTTCTCCTCTGTACCCGATAAACCATGACCTATTATTTCTGTCTGAAAAGTTTTACTTACTGTTTGCTCAAGGTATAGCTACTGCGTGCTAAGTACAAACAGCATTTAAGTATGAACCATAAGTTACCATCCCGTCACTATTAACATGTCGGTCTGGTTCACTGATTCATCCATAAATATATGTAGCTCGCTGGTTCTAGCCGCTATTGATATGAATATGTGATTTGATTGCCTCAGGGTACCTACATTAAAAAGCCCCCTCCAGTTTAGATGACGTGGCAGCTGCCGGGCTCGGCGAGCCAGGTGCGAGCTCGACACTTGGCGCAGCGCTGGAGTTGAACACTGAACACTGAACACTGAACAGTATGGCGCTCCTGAGCTCTCACAATTCAATGGCGCTGTTAAGCTCAATGTCGACGCAGGCCAAACACGACTCTATATCGCCGAGTCCATGGTGCATATTCAACTGCAATTAGTGCAGCACGACACAGACTGAGAGCGCACTGCGCGGTGATTGAACTTTATCTTGTTCATATGCTGCTGCTGATACAAATGTTAACGTACTATGAGGCAGGAGTTTTACGGGCATGACTGTGTGAGATTGTCCTTTGATCCCTTATCGGCAATATATGTTGTTTTCATTTTTAACAAACCATCACTACTCAACATCGAATTTACTGGCATAAATCGAATTTACCAATTTTATTGGAATTTTCAATAAATGCTTTTATAAGTTTTGTTCTAATTTCTAGACGGTTTTCACTGTAATAACTAACATTAATTACGTTTTCTTGTGCCATGAATGCTTGAAGGTAGGTACTCTCTACAAGCATAATAAGAACGCCGATCAAAGTCGCTATGATTCAAATTGATTTTAATTAAATATCAAATTGATTTTATGAGTTCACGTAGCTTCTTTGGATAATTATATTGTTGACATGAATATTGCATTTGTTTTGTTCTTTCGGTGTCCCACCTTCTCAAACCTCAAACCGGATCAGCCGCCGAAGAAAGCGGCCACATTCACCTTTTTGCCACCCCACGCTTCCCGCGTCCCCGCGCTGCGGTTGCCCACCGTGCCATGTGCATGTGTGTACCGCTCCCCTCCCCTCCCCCTCGGGTGTATCACGGACCGCGGGCCGGTCGTCAGCTGGTGGGGGGGGGCGCCGCTTGGGGGGGGGGGAGTCACGGTCGGCGGCGTCTGGCGGCCGCCCGTCACGGACTCCCAGTATCGACCGGGCGGCGGCGGCGGGCGGACGCGCTCGGGCCGGCTCCGCGGTGACGGTGTAGGTGTGTGTCGGGACGGGACGCGGAGAGGCGCCACGGGATCAGGGCACACGGAACAGGATCCGCTCACGGTGAGTCCAGTCAGCCGGTGGTGACGGGAGAGCGGCCTGTGGGAACGGCGCCCGCGAATTTTACCGTGAACTCCGTGGGTAGGTATGGTATCTCCGTGAGAGATTTCTGGTCGCGGGAGAAGAAAGTGTTTTTGTGGTCGGGTGGTTCCTGGTTGAGAGATAAGGTGCGAGTTGTGAGAGAAGTCCAGGAACATGGTTGCGAGATTGTCAAATCGCAGTCATTCATGCTTGCAATGTAACGATAGCCGCTGAAGCTTTGCGGGATAGTGAAAGGTGTCCAGATTGTGCTGCCTCTCATGTTGAAACAAAAGGGCTGAGTAGTTTCTCTGTCGTGAGATGCAGCCCAGTCCGCTTCCGGAGGAGGTTGAAGCTGCTGAGTAGCGGGTCTTGGTCTGCCTCTGATCGCAGAACTGCGCTCGGTCAGGCTCGGCGACACGATCCCCCCCGGCGGGGCCGCCGTCAGTCTATCTCCCTCTCGTTAGCACGTTACCCGGTCTCCGCGGACCAGCTCCCATAAACAGTGATCAGTCAGCGTGATTTACCAGTGGGGCCCGTCCGACGGCGACAGACACGACTTCAGCGCGGTAAGCGAACATGACGACGTCTCTCCGGACAGGTTGGGAACAGATGAAGAGGCGGACAAAGTACCATGCTGGGTACGAAGGCACTGAGCTGAATCTACGGCTTCTTTCGGTTCTTCGTTTTCAATGAAACTGCGCCAAAATTTTGCTAGGACTCGACTCCGTGATTGAAATACGAGTATCAGACTGTCAAGCTTCGGTCGAAGGTTATTAATTAATTCTTCTCCGGTGGTCTCATGTCAAGAGTTGGCTAGCTCACAACGGCCGTTGCACTGAAGTCGAGCACATGGCTCAACTGATGATGAATCTTGTCTGTCTCTGCTGTCAAAAAATGAATCTTGTCTGTCTCTACTGTCAAAAAATGAATCGTGTCTGTCTTTGCTGTCAAAAAGTGTTTTGCGGAAGCTCATCAAACACTCAGCTATTTTTCTGCAGAGGCATGTCATGTTTTCAGTTTCCTGCACAGTGCACATTTTCAAATGTAAACAAAATCTTACAGTGCAGAGATAAAGATGCTCTGCAGTCTGCAGGGAGGACGTGACGTGATGTAGAAATTCTAGGCTCTCGCTATGTCAAGCAAGTCGTTGTTACAATTACATATTTGCATTCCTCCGGTTTGTTAAATCTCTAGAGGCATCCTTTTTTTATTTCATCATTCGGCTTACCTCATGCATTCTTACTTTCCAGGGATATGCATATAAGCAAGTATGTAAATGTATGTTTTTTTTTTTCCACCATTCCCTAATTTTGTCTGTCATGACCAGATGCATATCCCGTTATAAACAACCGCCCTCCACGCCACAACTGCTCTGGCCTGTTCCGTGAATAGTGGGACGCGCTGTTTTTACTCGTTTTGGGTAAACAAACAGCGAACATCGGAATACCTTCAGACGATAAACATTTGTGTGTATGTAGCCATAGATTCGTCTGGCGGTTGGTGCCTTCTTCGCTGACGGCACCAATTCGTGTCACTCGCATGCCATCCTATTCACAAAATCCCTCGACGTCGGCTGTTGAGCGACGAAATTATGATTGGTGACTTCAGCTTTCTAATAAACTCTGCAATTGAGTCCTCCCATTGTAAACCGCTTCCCTTGTGTGGCCAGTGTCCTCCGGCGCTGCGATCCTCTCTAACAGCGTCTCTTCCGTTTCCACTATCGTCTCCTCCACCTCCGCCACCGCCTCCGGCTCGTCTCCGCCAGCGTCTCCGTGCCCCCCTGCGGCGTCTCTCCCCGTCTCTGGCACCGCCGCTCACTCGGCACGGCCGTTCCCGGCCCATCACCCGTACCCGGCCCACTGTAAACCCGTCTCTCTGCGCGCCGCCCCGCCCCGACCCGCGGGCCCTCCTCGCCCTCTGAACGCGTCGGCGCGCTGCGTCGGCGCCCGATGGATTTAGGTCCGGCCACTGTGCCGACACGCAGCGAGATTGGAGCGACAAATGGCCAGAACGACCCATCGCTCTAAGCCGGCCGGAGCCGCGGCAGAATCGAGAGTATTTTTATCTAACGCGCCGGCAACGGAATTCGGAAACTGTTAGGTGTTAAATTTTAGACAACTGATATTATCCTCATAGCTGCCTTTTTGCAGGGTTTGCCTCTAGTTTTTTCTTCTTCTTTTAAGCTCACAGCTCGCGACCATTCATATATTTCTGACACTCGCTCCTCTCCCAGTAACACAGCTGCCCTCTGCCTCACACAGCCGCATACCGAAGCCGTTTCCTGTCGCGGCCCGACTACAAACGGCGCGGAACGGGCGCCCTTGAGCTGCGTCCGAGCCGAGGGGCGCCGGCTGGCACCCTGCCTGGACCCTGTCGTCGACCGGGGGAGGTGGCGAACGCACACGCGTGTGGTCCGCCGACCACCCAGAGGTGGTGAGCGCAGGATCATACCGGTGGGGTGGGTCTGACCCCCTACCAGTGGCCAGCGGGTCACTGACCGAGGCTCACGGCTCCCCTGATCCAGCTGAGACCGCTCTCAGCAGCTCGTAGCCCCCGGACGGGTCAGATTAGGGCAGCGATCTGCCGCGGCTCTGTACGCGCCAGCGGTCACCAATCGGCTTTTTCACGCCGCCAGTGGCCGCGCCGGAGTAATCAGTGTCGGTTCAGCTCCGGTGCCGGACGGGGTGAACCGTGAACCGTGAACCGTGAACCGTGAACCGTGAACCGAGTCAGCTGGACTGCCGAGAGGGGGCTGGCGGGGACCGGTGAGCGGAACACCTAATCCCTTCCTCGATTGGGAGCATGGCTGCTGTCAGAGGCATAGGTTTTCTTAAAATATCGCTTTCAGGTTAATTCCGCCCGCTTGCTTTTGAAACATTGAGACTGTCATTTCGAGCAGACGTGCTTTTTTGGCCTTCCTTGTTTTAAGAACCAGCTTAGGACTTAAGTCATAAAGGATAACGTTTCGTTTGTACGGGACCAAAATTTGACATATGACGAACTACTCGAACTGTACATATGAAGATACTTCTCGGGGTCAACATGAAGAACTAAAGATAATGCAATATCTGGTCCTCTTTTTTTGGTACTCTGTTTAGCCTTTTTCCGCTCCACTGTTGTGCGTTGAATTTAGTAATCCCATCGGGCGTGATGGGATGACGAGCTCATAACGCTGGCTTTGGTGGGGCTCGCTCGTGCAGTGGGGTCGGTAGTGAGACTGATTACTGCCCGGATAAGTAGCGGAACAGCGCTCCACGGCCCGGCCGTGAGGGACATTGTGAGTCATAGGATCGATCCGGCCATAACACTGCGGCCATGGGACCTATTCACTGTGCATACAGGTCTGGTCGCTCTGTGTGTATCACGTGCGGTCGACGTTCAAGCGAATTTGCCATTTTGTAAATATGATACTTTTTAGTTCAAAGAGTCTAGTTTTATATTGTCTTAGGAATCTTTTACTAACAATAATTCAATGAAGAAGACCTTAAATAACTTAATATTCCCTATGTATGTATTGTATGTATTTACGATCATGGGCGATCCACACATGACGTGGCGATTACTGCCCTCTCTACAATCCGTTTGATCCCAGCATACTTTTGTTCGAAATTAAGATGTTATTACTGTTTTTCGTAGCTGATTCTTATACCTATCAGTGCCCGCTGCCCGGGCAGTTTGGAGCTGAGGTCCGGTCCCAGCCGGCGTCTCTCAGCCATCGGTAGCGGTATCCCGGCGGACCACTGAACGGTCCCTTTACAGGCCAATCCGCCCGGCCCGGATGGGGTGTTTTATAGCGCGCCGGTGACCAAAATGGTGGCCCGGATAGGAGGGGTGGGCACCAGTGGCCCGGCAGCAGCCTGCCCAAAGTGTGAATTTGGGGCGATGTGGGATTTTATTGGCGTTTATATCCGCTAAACACACTGGTAGCGCTGGGTAACAAAGCCAGAAATGGGATTTTTCGGAAACGTATATTTTTTTTCAAGGGTGTCTGCATCTGGACCAAAAAGCCGCCTTTGGTGGTCCGTATTTTTGTCCTCTAGGAAATATAGAAGATAAAACTAAATTGTTTATGCTTCCAGAGATCAACTGGAATTATTCCCTTTTGCTAACTTCAGTGGGAGTTTTTCCACGAGTCCGTACGAAAACGATGTGTTCAAAACAGAGGCACTGCCCGAGTTTACTGCAGTAATTTATGAGCAAACGTCATCTTAACTAGATTTGCAGAACTTATTTACACATGTGCTGCCGTAATAGGATAACAGCGGAACGTAGTCCCGGACTGCAGCATAATGCTGTTCGGCGTCTGATGTATGAAGCCCGTGCATCTTGGGAACGGTTCGCGATAAACAGACGTCGAGACTCGGAATGCCCTGGATGTACGAAGCCTGCGCATCTATTCGACGCTGCCGTATTAGTTTCGGACCCCGTCATTCCGTTTCTCTTCTTGTTGAGAAGTTTGTTTGACCCTCGCTGATATAGCTGTTCACCAAATCCTCTGCTGTGTTCTGTTAGTTTGTGAAAATTCCCTCTTCCCCCATGTTCGACTCCCTCTCGCTGATGACGGCCCGAATGACGTCGGTGACGGCGGCCCTGGTGACGCCGTACACCACCCCGGTCGGCTCGACAGCACTCCTCGGGGAGCCGTAGTTCGCTCTCTGCTGCGGGGTCTCGGTCCGCCGCCCCACACTGCAACTATGTCTGAGGCGGGGGCTGCTGCTGGAGGTTTGTGGGCCGCCGATAGACCGCGCCGCCGACCGTTGCGAACATTACTCAGATCGCTGGAAGTGGCTGTGAAATGTTGCGGCAGTTTGATTTACATTTGTGGGATGCGGGCCGTCGATGGAGGAAATTCAGGGACGCTCGGATGGCGGTGCATTTTTGCAGTGTTGTGGGATGGCTCTGGACATGCTCTGAAATATTAGCGATACAAATCGCGCAATCCGTCGCTGAGATGCTGTCCATCATTCCATGTGTCCCCACAA